ATATATATATTTCAGTTTGATATCTGCTTTTACAAGTCATAAGGGAAGCCCACAAATATTGAGAATAAATGCGTAAATTCAGACATTAACTGCAACAGCTTAATGAATAAAGCTTCATAAATTTAAAATCATATTTAAAGTCAATTAAGGCATCCTCTTTACTAAGCGCAGGCTTAAACTTAATTGAAGCATAAATTAGTTTCATGATTTCGTTGCTAATTTTTAAAAAGTCACGTGGCGACCAATTAAAAAATATAAAGACGCGTGCATTTAATTAAATGAAATTTCCAAAAAGCAAATCCATCTTCTCCTGCATGAATTAAATGATTTACAATTAATATTTATATATGTATTTGTAGAAATATTATATTTACTTAATTTAATATCTACTTTACACAATTCGGTAAACTAGCAGAATAAACTTAAACTTAAGCAAAAAATAATAATTTTCAAATCAATTTAAAAATAAATAAATATTTAATTAAATAATTCATGTTAAATGAATAATAAAATATTGTTTACATTCAAATGATGACAAAATTCGTTAAAGCCCATAATACCATATGTTGCAGAACAGCTAAAATTTATCAAATATCCAATATCTCATTTTTTCCATGTCAACGTGTACAAAATCGAAAACTTGACATGGCCTGAAGACAACAAAGGATTTGGCTATAAAACCGTAGCGCATGGCTATATGCAAATTTTGTGTAGACAGCCGTCGCTTGCCACGCATTTTGTAGTTAAGCCCTGTCAGGACTGCGTCACACCCACCGCCCCTAGACAGCCGGTGCCCACCTTGACACTGATACGAATACGCTCTGTCAACATTGTTGAACATGATGCGTGTGTAGAGCTGTAAACATTTCCACGAACGCAACGGCAACAAATTCTCGAACTAGGCACGACATCGAAAAAAAAAGAAAGCATTTCAACAGGACATGCTTTGCCCAGGCAGCTCCTTGGGAGCCTTCTTGTTGTCTGTCACTGGGCTGATTACATATTTAATATACGACGAGGATAGAGCTGCTTTATCTGCTGAAAGGCATTCCTTTCGACAGTCCTATTTGATGTTTTACAATTGTAAATTTGTGTTTTATGTTTTTGATATATTTATTTTCCAATTTAATAGAAGATTGCTTTTAGCAGGCTGCGAGAAAATTTCAGTCAAGTTTAGTTGACATCGATATTTGTATATAAGGCAAACACGGAAACAATATCTAAACTAACTGTTTACTTACTTGACCTGCCTCAATGTGGCAAAATGAGAATTTTCGATGTCGAAAAGCACAAATATTTACTTTAGCAATTTGAAGCCTTGTCGAAGTAACAATCTTTAAACACATATGTGAAATTCTCCCACTCAATACCGTATTTGTCTTTGACAATCTATAAGAAGCAGAAATTTGCTTTCAAGATTATTTATATAGTTCTCTGAGCCTTAAATCGGAGTAATTCGAAATATAAATGCATAGAAACGAGCCCAAATGAAAATATTTACTTTCACCCACTTCTCTTTGATTACATCGGATGTTATTTGAGATGAAGTCTTCTTTGCAGTTCGAACCACGTTAGGAGTACTACGAGCACTTGTCTAGCGCATTTTTGCAGTGACACGTTGACAGCTCGGCATGTGGCAAAAGCAACAGCTACATAAATTCCCTAATGGAGAGAGGAAGGGAAAGCTCAAGAATAACATACATAGTTGATGTGGGGAATGCTAAGAAAATCTCAAGCAGAGCATAAAGAAGTTCTTTAATACAAATTTAAATATAACTTAAAATAAAATAAAATAAATGCTATTTACATATTAATATTTCGAACATAC